GGATCACGCTCTCTCCCATCATGATGACGATGGTGATGGGGATGAGGATGAGGATGTTGCTGATGACGGTGACGGTGATGATGTCTACCCCAGATGATGATTGCGATACTGATGTCGACGATAATTATGATGCTGATGGTTATGATGGTGGTGGCGATGATGCTGATGTTGATGTTGATGTTGATGATGGTGATGGTGATGATAACGATGGCGATGACGATGACGATGATGATGGATCTGTCGGTGGTGGTGATATATGATGACTTCCTGAGACGGGGGCAGGGGGAGGAAGCGGACAGTTGGCCCGCCAGCAGCATTCTGAATTTCGGCGTACCTGCAGCCTTTTGGAGCTCGAGGGATTGGGTTGGGGACGGCAGATGGGATTTCTGGCTCCAGCCCCTCCAAATCTTTGCCCGCTACCTCCTCCACACCTTCGCCCGCTCGGTGCCGTTTTTGCCCTCTCTTCGCCTGCCCCCCAGAGGCCACGAGGGCGCCCAAGCGGTCGAGGAGGCTCTGGCCAGCGAGACCTTTTTTTCTCGCACGGGTCCAGTTGCGCCCAGCTTGTGGGGATGCGCGCCCTCCCAGCCGGGTGAGCGGCGGCGCTGCAGGGCCGAGGCCAAGCCCGCGAGCTCTCCACCCAGAGAGCGCCCCGTCCTGTTATCGTTGTTGTCAGTCCTCTGTTGTCCTCCCGCTTCACGTCCCTCGTCCTTCCTCCTTTGACCCCCCCCTCCCTCCCTCATCGTCCCTTCTTCCTTCCCCCTCTGCCCTCCGCCCTCTATCCTCCGTCTTTAGTCCTCTGTCCTCCGTCCTCCCTCCGTCGTCCGTCTTCCGTCACGCCCTCCCTCCTCCGTCTTGCCTCCTCTTTCCGCTTTCCCCCGCCCTCGCCCTACACTCTCCTTCCTCTCCTCTCTTTCCCCCCCTCCTCCGTCCTTGCCCCTCGGTCCCCTGTTCTCCTGTCTCCCCCCTCGTCTCGCTCTCAGGTCTCCCGTATCTCTCCGCAGCCTTCCCTCCTCTCTCCTTCCTCCTCCCTGCTCCCTCCTCCGTGCTCCCTCCTTCCTCGTCCGTCCTCTGTCTTCTTTTCGAGCCGCCCTCTGTGTTGGGTCTTGCCCCAGTTTCGCTCGGACGCGCGCGCGGATTGCCTCTGCCGCGCTGCGACGGAAACGTGTGTTGGGTCTTCGTTTTGAATCCGCTGCGCCGCGGGTCTCACCCTTTCCTTTTCCCCCCCCTCTCCCATCAACTTCCTCCTCCTCCTCCTCCTTTCGTCTCCTCCTCCTCCTCCTCCTCCTCCTCCTCCTCCTCCTCCTTCTCTTCCCTCAAGTTCACGGTCCGAGAGCATTTTGTCTTCGGCCAGCACTCGCCTCCACGTGGCGCTTGTGGGATACGCTTAGATATCGCACACCTTGGTTGACTAAGAAGGGCCGTCTTTCTCTTTACTGTGCATCTCGTCATGTTTGGTTTTGCAGCTCGCTTGTGGAGCCGTTGCCGAAACTGTGGGCAGCACGAGTGGAACGAGGTTTAGAGCGCAACAGCAGGCATTGTCCTAAATGCTCCAGGCCCGTGAGTTGCATACGCCAAGGTCACATTCCCCCAAGATGAAGAGCGTCAGTTTCTCCGGCGAGAGCAACGATGCCACGAAGACCGAGGGTATCAAGCAGCCCAGACCCATCCTGAAGAGCGGGATTAACATGCCGATCGTGTCCTTGAGCGCGCTTGAGCACGTCGCCAACGCTATCAGGGTGACCAGTGGCCTCGTCATCAAGGCGACCTTCCGGGCAGAGCTGACCAAACTAGAGGGTCAGAACGGGGCAGCTGCTGCGCATATGTCAGCGGCGGAGGCGGTTCGCAAGACTGAGCAAATCGCGCTGCAGATCGCGGGGAGCAAGGGGATGAATGCGTCAGGGGCCCTCGCGGCGGCAGCGTTTGCCAACCATGAGTCCGCCAAACGTCTGGTGCAGGCGGAGGGCGTCGTTTGGTCCAGCCTCCTTTTCAAGATGTCGTGGGACGAGAGCGTCTTTTCAGACGCAAAGGAACTAGAGCTCGCCGAGCGCCAGAGTATGACCGACCTGGAACAGCATTTGAAACAAGGCCAACGAGAACCGCACCACTCGCGAGAAGGAGATCAAGGGCTGGCTTTCGAAGGGTGCTGATTTTCGTCAAATTGTCGAGGAGCGCAAGAAGAAGCGCAAGAAGGAGTCCGAGGATGCTGCTGGTCAGGGAGAGGGTCAGCCTACGATGCCCGCGGAGGGGACGGACCCCAACGGTGGCCAGGAGGCACGGGCTGCTGCGGCCCCGACTGCAATGTCGTCAGCCCCCCCATGATGACCCCTATCAAGCAGGCCGAGCGCGCCGCTGCGGTCCAGGAAGAGGCGGCCAAATTGTCAGCGGCCAAGTTTGCGGCGGCGGAGGCCCGCGACACCCAGCAAAACGCCTTCAACGGCAAGAGCACATCTCTTGCCGAGGCCGCCAAGGCCAGCGACAGGGGTTATGGTGGTGTCCCAGCCTCGGCAAAGCCATGATGTATGGCGTCGACTCCCTCGGTTTCGACTGGGTGCCCGAGGGAGTCTGTGGCCCCAACTTCACGGCATCCAGCATCACTTTCTTGTTCTTCCAGACAGAGCGGCTCAGCGGGCAGCGGCACTCTGACGGGGACTGCCTCACAACTTACACTTAGTTTTTTTGAAGGGTGACGGCAGCCAGTTAGGCCTGACCTCCTCGGGGCATTCCTCGTCTTCTGTTGGACAACGTGTTTCATCAGTGGGAGTGGGCCTTAGTACCGGCTCCGACAGCCAAACCAACATCTCATTCTTGTTTGGCAAGGTGACATGTATGAATGAAAGGATTTGGGAGTCTTCCATTTCAAAGAAGAACTGTTTTCGCTCTGCGCACTTGCAGAGACACGTGCCGACGGTTCTAGTTTATGGCGTTGGGACCAGCATGCCAGGGGCGCTGGGATGCGACTCTATGCTAACCCATCCTGCGAATATCATCAGTCTCGTACCACGGCGCCGAGCCATATCGAGCGTGCCAGCAAGGGAGGTGAATTAATACTAAGTCGGTCTCATCTCCAGGTTTGCAGCTTCGAGGCAGTTTGCAGCACGCGCGCCGTGCGAGCAGGAGAGGGCGAGGTTCTGGACGGGGTGGCACCATTAATTCGGCACGTGTCGGGATACTGTATGGTCCTGGTGTGCTTACGTGGCATCAACTCGATCGGTTTCGCATGCCCAAACCTGCTTCGCTACCAGTGCTTGGGCGCTGTTTTACATTCAGTCCAGATGCCCTGGTTAGTGGTCGTGGACTTCAACGAACCAGCAGCGGCGATGATCAAGTCTGCGGTCGCTGCTCGCGTGGGTGGACATGTCTTGGCTCCCGACGTTCAGTGCGCATGCGACGCGGGCACCAAATGGCAGCATCATCGATTGCGTTCTCTGCAGCACCGCAGCCCTAGTCTACGTGACGGGCGTCACACCTGTCCTCGCCGTGCCTTGTCAGACCCACGTCGGAGTGGGGATCCAGTTGGGACTCGGGGGCGCGCAGCTCATCTCGCGGTCGCTGTGCCTATCGCAGAAGCTGCCCCTGCTGGCGCGTCCAGGAACGGAGCCGACCGCCGGCTCCAAGCTCGGCCTGGCTCGGGCATGGCTGAATGCTGCACGCTGGGAGGCAGCAGAAACAATAGGCGTGTAAAGTGCAGCCGTGTTTTCGAAGAATGCCTGGGGGCCCTCAGCCTGTCGTCCGGGACCTCGGAGGCATCATCGCATGGCGACGCGACTGATGTTGGCGGCGACCTGGAAGCCGCTTCGTTCTCGTGTGAAGGGGGCCCCTGGGTCGACGAGTTCAATTTCTTTCTGTCAGGCGCCGCTTGTATACATGCTATGGCTGCCGAGGGTTGTGTCGCAGGGCCGTGTTCCAGTGACGACGGGGGCGCTAGTCGGGCCAGTGGCAGCTCCTCCTCTGGGTTGGTCGGGGCTGGTGGCGCTGTTGCGCCTGGCCCCTCTGGAGCTCGTCGCTGGTCTGGCGGGGCCTCCGGTGACTCCGTTGGCTTTTGTCTGGGCCCTAGCGGTGCTGGTTTACAGGAGGCTTTACTTCTTCCAGTCTCCTAGCTCTGTATCAAATCAGGTCGAGCCTCCCCACCGTGTCCCAGCCGAGCTATGGGGGGCCCACCGTGCCTCAGTAGGCTTCGTGTGCTTCTCGTCCCCTCTCTCCCTGCATGCGCCGAGAACTCTGCGGTTTGCCAGATCGACCCCGTGGGGTGCCAGCTGATCAGTGGGCTTTGCGCATCTTGGGTCGGGGCTCTTAAGGCCTCTATCTTAGAGCGCCGCCAGGAGGAGCGTGCCATGGGGGGTTCCCGAGTTGCTGTTCCTCTGTTTGCAGCTCGCGATTTCGGGCTAGCAAGGGGTGTCGTGGGGCCCCGCGTAGGGATTCGATTGCTAACTGGTGGTCCAGGCGGCGCAATGTCCTGGCCAGTCTCGCGAAGCATCGGACCAGACGTAACGGGCCGTCTCAACGGCGCCAGTTGGAAACACACAACACGTCTCAGCCTAGTCAAAGATCGACCAGGGCAGGTGCGCGCCACCGTGCGTGCGGGACTTATTATCAGTTGTTCGGAATGGCTGTGCTCTCCCTGTCGCTTGTGAACTTTCCGTGAGTCAGGTGTCTTGGCGTGCTGACCTATTTGCGCGCCTGGCCCAGCGCAGTCAACGACGAGCGACAGCTCTGTCGCCCAAGGAGTTTCGCGAGTGGGTGTCGACTGCGGCGGCGCTGGGCGCATGTCGTCGTTCGACTTGGCAGGGCCCCCCCCCTTCGAGCTCGTCGACAACGGGGTCATCCTGCGCCGTCCCGAGGACATAATCGACTTCAAGTTCCGTCGGTGGAGGGGTGAAGAGGACATCTGGTCTTGGAGTGGGCCGCGTCGCTCCTGGGGGTCTCGAGCGGTTGCCTGATGCGGGCCGGCGAGCCCTGGCTGACATCCTCAAACGCGTGGAGACCCTCCTGGCGTGGCCCGCCCGGGCCCTTCCCAGTCATTGGGAGATGGGGCCATCGGGCTTGTTTCGATGTTGTTTTTTTAGGGGTCTGGCGCAAAGCTAGAGGGCCCTGGGTGCAGCGCTAGACCGTCGGCAACCAACCAGCCTGTGATGCCGCTGTTAAAGGCAGTTCATCCTTGCAGGTGGCCTTCCGACGATTGTTGGATAAAGAGGGGGCCGCAGTTTTTGAGGCTCCATATGCGCGCAGTCTTGATAATGTCGAGCAATGCTACGACGCGATGTTGTGGTTCCAACTCGCGCGGGCTGCAGTGCGCATGGGGTTCCCGCCCACAGTGCTCTATCTTGAAATTTTCAATGGGCGTGCCTCGGGACCCTGACTCAGATCGGGGCTTTTTCTGATCCGATAGAGGCCGTCAGGTCCATCATCCAAGGGCTGCGGGCCGGCGCGCGATATGCGCGT